CTTCGTCTAATCGACACAAACGTTTGTTAAATAAAACTTGCAAAAAATGAAACTTGTTGAAAGCTACTTGGAGCTATCTTCGTCTATATCAGCTCTTAATGTAGACATTATGTTCTAGGTTTAAGATTTTATCGCATCACATGCAACTAGATTTAACAGAAAATGGTAAGTTCCAAACCTAAACCAAGCTTACTGCACAAAAATCAAATTCTATGCAATATTCTTCATTTTGCTTGACATTTTTGTGTCACAAGTAATAAGAAAAAAAAAACATTTCTCACGCTTCAATATCAAAAATAGCACATTTTCATAGAAATAGAAAAAAAAATTGAGTTGTAATACATCCGGCAGTTGCCGCCGAGCACTTGAAGGCTATCAAAAGCGCAAAATGAAACTTCTGTCAGGTATCGCATAACCAAATGGCCATCAAAACGACATTGAGACAAATGATGTGCGTAGGTAATACGTTAGGAACGACAGGATAGGACATGCACAAAGATAAGAGCAGCCTTGTGCGTCTAAGCTGTCAAAGGAGTAAGGCGGACGCAAAAATTTAGAAACAACTGTTAGGCAAATATGTGTTCGTTGTCAATGGTGATGATTTCAACATGTGTGCAAGCATATGGACGACCAGAAAAAGTTGTGTGTGGTTGTGATTTGTAGTGGGGATAATAAAATGAACGGAAGATAAATATGAAGTTAGGCTGATGTAAACAAGTTTGGAGACTGAGAAGTCTATGGTAAACCAAGTAAACAGTTGTTTTTAATACTGAATCCTAATGGATTTATTAAAAGTACTTAGAGTGGCCTTACAAATTATTGGGTAGACGCTTGTTTATAGTAGTTACTAGAAAGTTATGGAATTAATTAATAGAAATTACTATTACTTACTAATATAACTCTACACCAGAGCCTTTTAACCATTCTGAGGTAGATGCTAATAATATAATATTTGAAATCAAAATGTATGTGCCAATAATCGGAGTTATAATTGTTAAAATTGTGTACAACTTGACAGATTGACAAATTACAACAGCTGTTATCAACAAAACCACATTTTTCAACGAAGCGATCTTAAATCAAAGATTTAATAGATTATTAAAATTCATATGCTTTTATGAGACCTTCTAGTAAATTAAGTAATTATTGAATTGAGTGTATATATTATTGATTTTTATATTCATAAGATAATTTCTCAATTACCAAACTTGTCCTACATTTAGGCATATTTTTCACCAAAGTTTCACACCTTATAATAAATAGTAGCCTAATGATGCTGCATTCATTTAAGATATAATGTAATATAAAGTTAATGGCATTTTTACTTGTCGCTTTTTTTTTTTTTTTTGTTTTGCTTTGCAAAGCCCGTGTTATCCCTTTTATGGCAAATTTTTCAAAGGCTTATAGTAAATATATGTGTGGAGTTTGGACTATAGCATTAAAGCGCCTTAAAATACTTGCGATATAATGAAAGAACTATTAAGTTATTATTTTAAGTGTACAGAATATGTTTTTGTTGTTGTTGTTGGGACTATCGAAACCACTACTTAATAAACTTGGAACTATTTTGACAGAGTCAAACTTAAGAGATTAGGATTTTAGATGAATTCGTTAGAGTAGGCATGAGAAGGAGCGCTAAGAGGTGATTGACTAGATTAATTAAATGGGAATATATGGCTGTCACACTAACGCTTTTTTAAAGATTTTTTTATACCATGAATAGGGTATATTAAGTTTTTCACGAAGTTTTCACATAGAACGTCGGTCTCTACGTATATACGCGTAATATTCCCACAATTTTTTAAGATTTCGATTTGAAATTTTTCACACGTTGTTTTGTTACCAAGAAACTGCTTATTTGTCAGAATGGTCGATATCGGACCACTATAGCATATAGCTGTCATACAAACTGATCGGTCCAATTCAAGTCTTTGTAAGGAAATTTCTTTTTATTTGACAAGATATCCAACGCTACAATTTCTGAATATATTACGCTGATCGAACTACTAGAGCATATAGCTGCCATACAAACTTTCTTAACAAAATTAAAAAACCGATCTTCTTATACGCTTTTATACTTTATTAACTGCACCTGTGATAGGCATTACAGCTTCATTGCGGCCAAAGTTAACATTTTTTCTTGTATTTATATTTTTAAAATCTAACTTATTAGGTAAATCTTCTATTTGGGTCATAACGCAATTGTTTGTTCACTTTACATAACTTAATGTGCAAATAAATTCTGGGTAAACCCTAGACGCAGAGCGTACAGCTTACAATTAACATATTGTATACACCTACGCAATACTTGTATTTGCAACATGTAGTAGTAGTGTGCATATACACGCTTTATCTGACTTTGTAAGTTGTATATAAGAGGTTATCTTGTCTACATTTACATTTGTTGCTGACATTAAAACTGATATTAACATACAAGTATAAGTATGTATGTAAATAATATTGTGGGCTGAATCTTACAACAAAAGTTAACGAACCTGGCATGGCACGCAGCACCGCAGAGAATGCATGCCACCGACGGCTCCGACATATTTTATACAATAACGGAGCATACGCAAATAAATAAATAAGTACACAAAGAAGATATGCAAAGGGTCCAAAGCAAGATGAAAGCTGGCAAATGAGCAAAGCAGTGAGGCCGCTGAGAAATAGATAGTTGACAAATAAGAGAGTGAGTGAGTCTTAATATATTTAAATAAAAAGAATTTATAGATAAGCGTGCAAACGAACTCGCAAATAACTGCATACACATTAGGGTGCGTAAAAAAACGATTTGACTCCTCTAAAAGAGTCTCTCCAAGTATGAGCTCTTAATCGGCAAGGTACTCCGCCTTACAGTTTTATATTTTTTCTTATTATCACTTAGAAAAATTCATATCTCGCTTGTAACTACTTGAAAAAATATCTGGCTTCATAGATTTAGTAGGAAATCGAATGCTCACAAAAAAAAGTTGCCTACGATTTTCTCGTAAGCCCAACATATTAAGGGATAATTTTATAACTTAATGAAAAAATAATAATTTTAAATTGCAAAATTTCTTCAGTTATAATTATAAACACATACTTGGAGAGTATGCGCAAAAAAAATATTACCACCTTAATACACATACATACAAACAGTAATGTAAGTGTGATGTAATCTATACGGAGTTGATTGGCAGCAAAGTAAAAACCTTCGACCATTAAGCAGTAGGCGTCAGCTTGGCCTCTAGCCTCACGTGCTGCATGACTGCGTGTCTGTTAGGCGCACTCAAGCATATCAATCAGTTTATTATAGTATGTGTGTGTGTGAGTGTAAATCTGCGAGGGTCATAATCTAACAAAACAATGCTTAGACATTCTTTTACTGGTGTATGCTTTCAAAGCACACGCATACTTATACATACATATGTATATTTATATATGTATGTGCGTCCTAAAAGAAAGAGCATTTCAAATGTTTCTTCCAACAGCGCTACAGTGCACATATACATATGTAGTAAAGCAAAAATTATTATAATATTAGAAAAAAATTTAATTTTTAGGCATTCCACAGACATAAAAGATGTCCACTGCGGCAACGATGACAAACGATATGCGCCTTGTTTGCATATAATTATCGCAAAAGGCAAATACACACGTACACATAAGCACACAAACACATATACATCTGCAGCAGCATAAAATTTCAATATTTTTGTGTGCACGAATCAAGCTATTAATGCCGACCAGCATACCAAAATTGTTGCGAGATATCACAGAAAACGAAGCGAAGCACAGTTGGTGCCACGGGGCGTATGAGTAACGAAAGCACTATGTATAGGCAATGTGTACAGGCGATGCGGGCTGACATTTTGGACAATTGACTGTATGAATGACGAAATCCCACAAGTTATGCTGAATGTTATTTGCCATTGACGCACACATGCATATATACATACACACACCTACCCAAACGCTGGTATGTATGCAGATATGTGTATCTTGTACATATGCAGATAAACACAAATAAAAAGCGGCATATTTAAGCTCTCGCTACCGCTACCTTTGCGCCATTCAAATTTACAACAGCATCCATGCAGACAACTGATAAGCGCACCACCATTGCTTCACAGACATATTTGTGTGGGTGTGTGCGCTCGATTTAAATGGTCGCTTTGCGGTTCAATTAGCGCGCAAACGTTGAAATATTTGCGCGCAATCAATTGCGGAATATTGGCGTCGCAGCACAGCGCTCAACCTCTTCCACGCATCAACCGCTTGATTGCGGCGATTTTGGAAAAAAGTTATTTTTTAGTTTTTGTTACTTTGTTTTGGTGCGCCACTGCAATATGGTCGCCAGTTTTAAAGAAATTAACTATTTTAACTCGCATATAGTCGCTGCACATATCAATTATTTCAATCTGCAGCACAGCAGACAACGACTTTAATTAACTCGTGCGCCCGAAACTGTAGAGTTTTAGGCATCTAATTTTAAGTTTTTGTTTTACTTTAACTTTTCTATGCTTTCGCCTTGACTTAAGCATTTTGATCTTTATTTGTTTACTTACTTGTATTGTAAGGGCATCTCAGCCGAGGCTAATAACAGGTGTATGTTAAATTATGTTAATTCTAGGCATACTTTTATTGTCTCAAAAGAAGCCTATTTTGAAGGCGATAATAATGATTTTTTTTTTCAAATACGTGAAAATCTATTTGTTTTTTTGTCTGTCCGGGTCCAGTTTGATATGCAAAAGAAAAGTAAGCCTTTTTATAGAATCAAAGGTTTTATCGAATATTTATGAATGCATCTTACATATCTCAAGTTCATTAAAATGGAAATATTATTAATATTGATTCATATATTATAGTCATCATTTTCCAATAAAAAATACTTCAATATTCGTGTATTTAACATTGCGCCAAGATGTAGGCAACAGTTTCTACACCATAATAAATTATCATTGCTTATGTTATATATATGTATATTTTTTAAATTTTTATGCGATGCTGTTTCCACTTACCTCTTCTGCTTATTTCCTTTCAATTGTCAAGAATTATTGCGAGACAAAATTGCGGCTCAAACTTAACACTGAGGCACACTTACACTGGGAACTTTACTTATTTACAGTTGATGCTATTATTTCTGCCATTATTGAAGGATAAATTAATAAATCTATAAAAAAATAATAATAAAAATTTTATATAAATATATTTGTATTTATTGTAATTATTTATAAATATATAATATATTCAAGCCTACAAATTTTAGTTTATTTAAAGGGTTATGCTTTTGAGTTTACTTTTTATTTATTTTATGGCATAGCCTTGTTTGAGTAATGATTGTTTATTACACCTTAACTTTTAAATAAACCGAATGTGATAGCAAATCAATAGGTTTTCAGATGTCTGTTTCCCTGATCGTTTGCCTGTCCAAGCGATATATTGTATAAAAATAGTTATCTTGATGCAGCTAGTTTCTATTTACTCTGAGGAGGTTAGTATTCAATATAAAATCTAATGGGAGCGTTGGCTGTGCCATTTAAACTACAATTGTGTGAATTTTCGAGTTTTTTTTAAATGTGAGTATGGCTCAACCCTCTCAAAAATCTTAGCGGCACACCGATAGTGACCGTTTAAAAAGGCGATTTTTAGTTTATCAATTAATTTAAATACTAAAGCTATATTCATACATATTTTAAGAATACTCTGTAATATTTTTTAAATAAAAAAATTAATAATTTTTCGAGTTATATGCGATTTCCGATGGCGCTTAACAAACGATCTTCCGCTGCTGCAGTGACAGTACCTTGTAAATCATAGAAAATGCAACATCTTTGTAAAACAATTTAGACTTTCCTTATATATATTTTACTACAAAAGTACAACAACTACAAATTATCCACAACAACCGCTAAGCGACAATGCTGCTACTTAATACCCACTGACACAGAGATATATATGGCGGTGGCATACCGAGCATTGAATATTTTGTTAATGAAAATCGTTTACCGCAGATAAATCTGTTTGTTTACTTCTGATAAGATAGGCTTTTGTTGTATTTGTTTTTTCATACTGTGGTATTATTATTTACACTCATCAAAATGATAATGGTTAAATATATATGAATATATGTATGTGTTAAATTGAATTATGTATGCAGCTGAATATTGCTACATTTATTAAACTACTAAAGAAATTGTTTTCACCTGATTAATTTCTTATTTTATTTTTGTATATTCCTTTATTTAATATTATTTATTATACTATCGTAACATGTTACAACAGAGTATAATAGTTTTAGTTACCTAACGGTTGTTTTGTAGCATCTAAAACGTATCGAGATAGATATAGAGCTATAAATATACATATATAAGTGATCTCCCTGACAAGACGAGTTGAATTCCTGAACTGTCTGTCCGTAAAAAGTTAAAGAAATATGTGAAACTTTAGTGAAATTAAGTGAACATGTTTTAGTTAACAATGTAAATAGTTTTATGCTGGAAATCAATGAAATCTGTCCATACCATGGTTTAAACCCCATATTCTTAATGTAATGATTTCCAATACTAGGCTTTTCCTGATCTATCACATATGACTATATTACATATTTCTCATTTGTGTTAATTATGTTGATATCACGTACACGAACCAAATTGTAGTGAACAAGTCCTTCCTTAATTTGAAGTTCGTCTTAGAATTACTCTCTCTCATTGTCCTCGAGAGAATGTATAGACCGAATTTACTGCTATTATTGAGTTTAAATTTTGATATATGTAGCTCTTCTGAATAAAAATATTCTTAATTGTAAACTATCTTATTTCTCTCAATACCGCTATTACGGTAGTTACATTCTATTCTAGTCCTATTCTCAAATAAATTACAATCTTCAAAGTTTTTTACCAGGTCCTTTGTTTAGTTCTCAACCTAACCTCACATCTGATTACCTTTGAAGATACGAGTAGCTGAACCAAATTATCGAGAATGAAAACACGGTCAAAATGACAAAGGCAAGACAAGTCAAATACCCAACACGCATTGACCTGGCAGGGGTAGGTGTCCTTGCTAAAGGTAAACAAAAGGTTTACTGACCTCACCAAACGTCTTTTACCTCCGGAGAGAAGGTAAACAAAACGTCATAGCCCTCAACAAAGGTCATTGACTAAGAAAAGGTTGTTGTCCCAGCTCAAGGTAAACAAAAGCGTTATTGAACTTTGGAAAGGTTGTTAGCCTCATTAAAAGTCATTAACCTCCAAAAAGAAGGTAAATAAAAGGGTGATTATCGTCAGGAAGGATTGTGGTGTATATTTAAACGACTTGCCTAATACCCGTATAACACAACTTTAAATTCCATTTTTTCACATAATAGATAAATCAAAATATCGGAATAAATATTCAAACAGAATGCTATATACCGATTAAAAATCTTTAAAATCGTACTATAAAATTTCAAGCCCACATATAACGAATACAGAAATAATCTTTACGTGATAATAAAGAGGCTTTGGCCTACAATATAAGAATTTGTTATGAAACTTAGTGGATCTACTATATATATAGTATCAGTCAATATGATGCCAAACATGATTTTAATCCGTTCATCATTTCGTTAAAAAATGAATTTTGAATTCATTTGCATCAAATTGCGCAATTTGCGTGTGAACACAATATTCGGTTACACCTGAACTTAGCCCTTACTTACTTGATTTTTGTTAATTTTGTTGATTCTTTGTATTTGCAGGAGTAAACTGTTGCATGCATTGTAGTTTTTTTGTTTTTTCAAACCAAACATGCTTTCTTTTCTTTGCGCCATGCGGCAGCATCGAGATAAGAGCACAAACAGCATAAACATCTGATAAAAAGAACATAACAAAGATATGTGAAGGCCGTTTCTTGATAAAAAAATTCTTAGCGTGGTCTTTATTTATTATGCAGAGTAACTGTTGGCAAATAAGCGATATAAGAAATTTTAAATGACATTAGAAATACATATTAAGTAAATGGAGATAATTAAAAGTAGTTAAAGGAAGACTCGAAAAAGTGTTTTGCAGAGAGTTCTTCTTCATTAGTTTAATATAAAGAAAACCTCAGCCGAAAGTTAACGTATATTGATGGATGTTTATGATGAATATCTCCTAGTTGATCGAACGTGCCAAAAGTGGTTTGCAAGTTTTAAAACGGATTTTGGCTGGGAAGACGAAGAACGTGCTGGGTGGCCAAAAAAGTTTAAAGACGCTGAACTAGAAATATTACTGCAGTTGAAGATTATTTCCAAACGCCAGAAGAGCTCACAGAATCTTTAGGAGTCACTACAGCAACGATTTCAAAGCGTATAAAAGCAGTCGGATACATTCAAAAGCAAGAAAGTCGGGTGCCATATGAATTGAAGGTATGAGGTAATGCACAGAGCATTTGTTAGAATCAGAAAGTGTGCTGTAGTATGAACTTCTAAAATTGGATGAAGGCATTAATAAGGAATACTAGCGGCAACAACTTATCAAATTAAAATGAGTGATTGCTAAAAAATGCCCGGAATTTGCGGCTAGACACAAGTCATTAATTTTTCGCCGTGAAAACGCTCGGCCAGTTATCAGACTAGTTACAAACTATTTGCAAACCCAGCGATTGGGAAGGTTTGCCTTACCTGGCTTATTACCCAGACTGTGTCCCTTTTAACTCTCAGATTCGCAGCATAACGCGGTATCTAAAATCGGGTTGATTCATTCTTCACCAGTTTCTTTGAAGTGGCATCCACAAATTCCCCGAAATATACAAAAATGTAATAGCTTCAAAAGGGTAATACTTTAAATTATACTATTATAAACTTTATTTTTAAATAAACTTTCAAATTTTGAAACAAAACCAGCATGAACATTTTGACATACCTCATCTAACTACTGCTTGCTTTTATATCGGTTGTACTCAAACGAAATTTCCATATGCTTACTCAACAAAACGATGTAAGTTTAACGACGGAGACGAGTTTTTTATTAAATATGCGAGTATGTTCTAATCATTTTGCGGCTTTGGCAAAAAAATTGCCTACATCTGAGCGCCAAGGTTTTGACGTGTTATTACCAAACATTTTTTCGATTCGCGTATTTTAAAATTTATAGAAAATTTTGTTACGACTCTACATCATAGAGTAAATTTTTACTGGAGCGAGTAAAAATATCCAAAATTTGTGTATTCCACTAGTTGGTATTAAAAATTTCTTAAATCTTAGAAGTTTTGCATTCTCAAATTTTGCATTCACAAAATTTGCATACTTTCAGGCATCGAATGCCATATAAAACTTAAAATAGGTTAGTGGATTCAGAATTCCAATTTCGTTTGAACTTTTACTTTTACTATGTTTCTTCATCCTACTCCATATTCGGTGGTTTTTCGTACTTTTCACACACGCACATAAATTCATTACCACTACATGCACATGTAGCGCTTCGTTATTAACACTGTTTAGAAGGTTTTTATAAGCGTATGCTTATAGAAAAAAAGCATTATATGAAATATATAGCCGTAAACCCAAAAGCTCTAAAAAAGCCAAAATAACGGTATATAAAACAAGATATATCAGTTACTAAAAAGTGAATAGCTGAAATTGTTTCTGGAAGGTATGGCAAGCATGCGGAGGTATTTCTTTAAGCATACATGTTTGTGTAGATCTAGTGGAAAGTAAACGGTACTATTTGGCTTTATTTGGTACTGCACACACACACATAGATATATTTATATACGTATATGTAGCTGCCACTAAGCGAGCAACTGCTTTAGCGAAAGAAGGAAACTTGTTTTTGCAACGATTTCCGCTGTGGCCGGCGCACACGAATCTCTACACACACACACATATATTTGTATGTATGTATATGTGTATGTACTTGCATACTTGTTAGCTAATGTACAAGTAGTTTACCTGCAAGGCAATTTGTTACAGCCACAGCATTAGCAGCAATTCCATTGCGAACGGAAAAATTTAGAAATGCGCAACATACTTGAGGACCTAGATAAAAACAGAGCTATTTTTGAGCAACAGTAGGAATACGCAACTAAAGCAAATAAATAATGCAAAACAACAACCACGACTTTGTGTACCGAACTCTTGGAATTTCTAAGTCATTGTACAAGTGGAAGTAGAAAAAAAGAAAGAAACAAAGGAAAAATATTCACTTACAAGTT